CTTATATCAATTTGTAGCTCATGTTACGATCTACAACTTTACTTAGAACATCAACAAATATTTACTTGAACTCGAACCGAACTTTTTGTCAGGTTCGAGTCAGGTTCGAAATTCAAACTGAACTCGAACCAGACTTTTAATTAGGTTCGAATTTTTGAACCGGACTTTTCGTCAGGTTCGAGTCCGGTTCAAGCTCGAATCGAACCAGACTCGAACCGAACCAGACTTTTTTTCGGAACCCTAAGAGTAAGTTATATACTTAAAATTGAATAAATTTTAAAAATCTAATTATTAAATTAACTATTATTTAAAGAAGTATAAAATATAATATTTATTCAAATAATAGATTTCTTTTTAAAATACTATTAAAAAAACTTATATAAATTTGAGAATTTATAATTATTTTAAAAATTATATTAGTATTTGAATTACAAAAAATTGAATAATTATATTAAATCAAGTATAATTAAAAAATTAAGTTATAATAAAAGCAATAATCTAAAAATATCTTAAAAGTATTTGAATTATTTGTATAAAATTATTTTATTATTAATTCAAATAATTATTTTATGAAATAAAATTTTTAATAAGAGAATTCTATTATAAATTAATATTTTTATATTATTTTTTATATTTTTATTATATTGATTAATTATTTTTAGAATTTTGATTTATTTTTATTAAAATTAAAGTTTTATTATTATTTATAAATATTACTTATATTTTAGCAAAATAATAATAATTTTCTTTTTAATAATAATAATAATTTCTTTTGATAATTATCTTATTAATTAAATAAATTACTTGTTAAAAACTAAAAATAATTATTTTAAAATTTAGCTGTTTAATTAAATAAATATATATTATTTATTTTTAATATAATATTATTTCATTTACTTATAATTTAATTATCTATATTATTTTTTATTTAATTTTAATATATTTAAATTATTATTATATTTTTTTTTATTAATTTTATTTTTTATTTTTGAATTTATTAAAAATTTTTTATAGAGATTTCTTTTATTAATTAATATATTTTGAAACTTTTTAGTTTATAAAGAGAACACCAAACTTTGTTATTATTTATATTTTTTTTATATTTTTCAAATATATAATATATAAATATATAATTTTAAATCAAACAAAAAAATAATATTAATAATTAAAACTATAAATAAGAAAAATAATGCTATTTTCAAAGATAAATAATATATATTTATTTTGTTGAGCAACTAGAATTTTTTTAATTATTATAACTTTATAAATAAGTATAATATTATTATTATTTTTTTAAGTTTATTATATATATTTTATATTATATTACAGAATAATTTAAAATTTTTTTATTATATTATTTTAGTTTATATTGTATATTTTTATTTTATTATATTATTTAATTTTTCAAAAGAAAATTTTAATATTATAAATCAGATTTTATTATCTTAATTATTAAATTCTTATTGAATAATTATATTTTTTATATTATTGGATAATATTTTATTATATTTTTATTGGATAATTATATTTTATATTTAATAACTAAGATATTTGTTCAAAAATCTATTTGAATATTAATTTAAATATTTATTTAAAAATCTGTTTGAGTATTAGTTCAAATATTTATTAAAATATTAATTTAAATATTAATTTAAATATGTTAAATTTTGATATAATCATCATCTTTATAATTACTTTTTTTTCAAGAATTAATTATATTAAAAGTATTTTTTTATAAGTACATTTATTATAAAATTTCTTTATAAGTATATTTTTAAAAAAATTATTATTGGATCTAATAGTATAATTACATAATTAATTGTATTAATTTGAAAAATTAATTAAAAATTGATTTTATAGGTTTATTAATATATAACTGTTCCTGAACAAACTTCAATTTATTGAGGCGAATTTATTATAACTCCAATTTCGGGTTGATTATATTTGAAAATAAAGAATTAATAACGATAAGTCAAATTTTAATCATCAATTTTGGGGATTTTATTATCATAATAAATAAGCAAAACAAAACATTAGCGTTGTCATTTTCATACATGTATACTTAAAGTCAGAACTCCGAAGATTCCGATATTACGTGCATAATTTATTTGATTGGGCAACTTGTAAATCATTCCGTAATTCATTCACTTCTATGCCACCTTTTAATAACCTCAAAAAGGCATATCCTATTGTTATTTCTGCAGAAAAGTATATGTATCTGTATGTATCGGATATTCTAAACAGAATTTCTGCATGTGTGTGTGAAAATGTTAAAACGAGAAAGGAGAAATACATGTACACGCATCTTTGTTTTCGAAGGCGAAAAAATAATTATATAAAGGCGAGTAGTTCCTTCCAAGACAAAATAATCTTTAAAATTCATACAAAAATTTATAAATTTAAAAACTACTTAATTTCATCAAACAAAATGAACGGAAAGCAACTTAAATTCTTTGTCTTCTTCTTGATTGCAATTATCGCTTTGTCACAAGCAGCTGAAACAAGCACTACTTCAGAACCTGCTTCTGCTGCTTCTGCCGCTGCTTCTGCTGCTGCTTCTGGTGCTTCTGCTGCTGCTTCTGGTGCTTCTGCTGCTGCTTCTGGTGCTTCTGCTGCTGCTTCTGGTGCTGCTTCTGGTACAGAATCCGGTGCTTCTTCAACCGGAGGTGCCTCCAGTACTTCTTCTGGCTCAACATCATCCTCAAGCACCAAATCAAGTGGTAATTCTGTGAGTCACAATATCCACAATAATATTGACTTCATGGTAGCTTCTGGTATCGGTGCTCTCGCTCTAAGCTTCGCTGGTTTACTCTTCTAATTTAACGGGAAAACAAAATACTATTACTTTAGTGGTTATAATTAGTAATAATAAATAGAATTTGCTGACACATCTTTAATATCATTGTGTATTTCTAGTTTTTAACATTCATTGTGAGAAAAGTACGCCAAATAGTTGCAAGTGAAATTTTTTCTAATAAATCTATTTTTGAACTATCTTATGCTTTACGCTCTGAATCTAATAACAACCATAGCAACAACCACTTTATTACTAATGTTGGAAAAACGGGTGATATGACATTTTATTCCGTGGAAAACCAAAGCAGAATATTTTTATTCGATTTGCCATAGAGAAACCCATGAATCATACAAATTTTGATGGAGTATTTTGTATAAGATTCCGAGTCTTTTATGCTATACCAGTAATGTTTACAAGTCTATATATAGCACGAGTTCCTCATGAATTATGTACTATGCAGGCAGGGACCCGTTCAAATAAACAATATCCAATACAAATTTGGATTGTATAATAGACAAACAAAATTATGAAATTTGATTGGCTCATCATGTTGATTCTTCAGTTTTTAAAAATTCATATGTATCGGTATATACGTAATGATAAATAAAAATGTTTATTTTTGAAAAGTAGCTTATATATCTCGAAATTTTATCTATCAATTTTATTTGCAAACTCACTAATTCTAATCGAAACTTATCATATTATTTATATCAATAAACTATCACGTGATTTAAATAGCTAAATTAAAAATAGATATTTCTTAATTTTAAGATTATAATAAATCAAGAATGTAATATTAAAATTTAAAATTTTGCTAATTAGAAATGAATCAAAAATAGTGTTCAGATAAATCAAAAATAGGAATTTTGATAATAATCAAAAGAAATATAATATAATAAAATATAACATTATTATTTTTATATAATTTTATAACTTTCGAGTATATAATATATCTTTTATATGTTTCAGTCAGATAAAATAAATAAGATAATAACTAAATATTTATAACTAAAATATTACAAATAAATAATGTATATTTATTTTTTAATTCTGCTTTTCCAAATTAATAAAATCTTTTTATATAGTTATATTTTTTATAATTATTACTATTATTAAATAATTTTTATAATATATATTAATTATAATAAAAAATTTTTTATACTCATTATTTAATTTGAATATTAAATAATATATTAATATAAGTAATACAACAAATATATATAATAACTTATAAAAGTAATTTATTACTTTTATACAAAAATACAAATAATAAATAATTTATATTTAATATATATTTTTTTCAGTTTTTTTTTTATATTTAATTTGAGAAAGTGTTTTTAATTACAAAATAAATTAATTAGTTTTTATAATTAAAATATATAAAAAATTAATTAACTTATTTTGCAATTAGAAAAACTTTTTCAGATTAAATATAAAAAATATTAAATATAAATTATTATTTGTATTTTTATAAAAATAAAAATTCTAATTAATAAAATTAAAAACTTTTATATAAAAAACTTATATTTTATTAATAAATTTTGAAAGTAATATATTATCTTTATAAGTTAATATATATACAATTTCAACAAAAAAAATAAAACTAAAACTTTATAATTTGTAAAATTATATATATAAAAAATTAAAAAAATCTTTTATATAATAATTATATTATAATATATAAAAAATCAAATATTAATATGATTGTTTTTATAATATATAATAATACTATGATTAATTTAAATGAAGAATTTCTTCACTTTTGATAAGAAAGTCATATGAATTGGAAAAGAAAAATAGACTAATAAAAGTGATCAATGCAAAAATAAATATCTAAATCTATGTCAATTTTGATAAAAATTGTTAAATAATTCTATCAAAAGGTAAAAAAAGAGATTGAAAAAGTGTGTTTCAAAGAGATAATTAACTAATAGGAATTACTAATTAAAAATAAAGGTATTGATATTTCTATACTTGTAATTGTACGTTCTAGTACTTTCAATACTGAAGAAAATAAATTACTAAAAAAAATATCACTTATTTAGAATTATAGTATATAACTATACAATTCAATATCACTTATTTAAAGTTACAGTACATAATTATATAATTCAATATCATTTATTAAAGTTTTGATGCATAATTATATAAAATAATGCTATAACAAATCAATACTCTATCTAAAATACTTTAATCATCTTTTCAAATTTAAAGATAAAAATATAATAGTATTACCATATTTTATGAGTTTTTGCTAGAGAGTGCTTAATAATATTATAATAAATTATTTAATCAGGATAATTATAGTAAAGTTTATTAAAAATAACAGATGAGAGAGTATTGTTGTATAATGACCTTTCATTATAACATTTAATATTATTGGATTATAAATATCTTATATCTTATTGGATAAAGATTATATCACGTGAGATGAGCGAACAAGCGAGCGAACAAGCGAACAAGCGAACAAGCGA